CTATATTAATTGTATTTTATTCATAAATTGATAGACAAACTGAAAGAATGAATTGTACTTTAGAAGAAATATTAAGAATTTATTCTACTTATAATCAAAATTGCTAAGATAAATATCTTACTACCACTAAATTTGCATATAATAATTCTATTCAAGTTTTTTTTGATCATATATTTTTTAAGTTAGATTATGATCAATATTCAATTACATCTGCAATACTCATCTCAGATAATAAAGTTACTATTACTAATAAATTCATTTAAAATTAGAATAATATAATAAAAGATACTAAAGATTTATTAATAGAAATATAGGATCATTAATCTAATCAATATTATTATTATTATCAAGAATTTAAAATTAGAGATCAAGTCTTACTTTTAACTTGCAATATCATAGATCTCATAGATAAATAATATTCTAGTAAAAAACTTATACCTAAATATATTAGTCCTTTTACTATTCTTAAAGTAATTTTATCTATTGCATATAAATTAAATTTATCTTTATATATGAAAATTCATCCTGTCTTTCATATTTTATTATTAAAATTATATAACTCTAATAATAATAAAGAATTTATTTATCCAATATTATTACAATTAATTATCATATCTGAAACTAATGAAAAATAATTTGAAGTTAAAGTTATCTTAGATAAAAGAATTATTCATAATAAACTGCAATATTTAGTTAAATAGCTAGATTATACTCTTTATGACTCTATTTGAGAATCTTTGAAAAATCTTCATAATATTATAAAACTTGTAAAATCTTTTAAATTAAAATATCAATAAGGATATTAATTCTTAAAAGGAAGATGATGTAATAAATTTAATTTTCTCTCACAGATTATTACTATATCATATATTGTATTATATATTATACTATTAGCATAGTAATATAAAATTACTTAATTTCTTAATCTTTTTCTGATTATGTAAAATTATATATTTTTATATTTTTCATTTATTTTATAAATATTCCTATTTTTATATCATATATTATTATATTTATTATTATATTTCTATTTTTAAATATTATATTTTATTTAATATTCAAGATTTACATTTTTATTATCTTGTAATACAATATTTATATATATAGTAGAATAGGATTATTTTTAATTTTAATAGAATAATTATATATTTTAAATATCTTTTCTTATTCTTTAATATCTTTTAACATTCTCTTATATCCTTTCATAACTTTTCATATCTTCTTATATCTTTCTATATCTTTTAACATCTTTTTATGTCTTTCAATATTCTTTCATGTATTTTAATATTCTTTAATATTCTTTGATATCTTTTAATGTACTTTGACATAATCTATTTATAATTATTTATACTATAGTACTTTAATTATATCTTGTATATTAGATAGTATTAGCTAATAATATTATAATAATTTTTGTATCTGAAAAATATATAAAAGAACCTGCTATCTCAGCTTGAAATAAATAGTTTTGAATGAATTATTTGAAAAATATAGTTTTGAATTGAATTTTTTGAAAAATATAATTTTAAAGATTACTTTTATAATCTAATTATATTAGTACCCTTTCATTCAGTCAGTTTTATTTCTTTGATCTTATAAAGTTGATTTTGGATTTTTAGATTATAACGTTATATTAATTTTTAATTTATTTGATATTATTTTGAGAGTAAAAGATCTCTACTATAAATAAGTTATACTTGTATTTTATTCATTTTATTATTTTTGAGAGTAGATAATCTCTACTATAAATAAGTCATACACTTTTATTTATTTAGTTATTTGATTTTTATACTTTAATTCTTATCTTTATTTTAGTTATAGTCTTCTTTAATTAATAGTTTATACTATTTAATTAATTTAAATCTTGAATTATATTAATTACTAGTGGCTTCACTCAGATAATCTTTATAATTTCTTTAATTTATTTATTTTTTTATTTATTTTATTATCCTTTATTAAGACAATATCTGTAGATATTGGCACAAGCCTTAGAAATCTTTGTCATTATTGAAAGTTATAGTCTAATTTCCCTCTCATTATCCTTTAATTATTTTAGTCTCTCTCAATCCTATATTATTAAGGTGAATTAAAGTGAAAATTCACTTACCAATTTACTGTAACAATATTTATTACTTTATATAAAAAAGAATTGAAAAATAAATTTTTAGTTCTTATTAAATATGTATAATTATTATTTATAATTTAAAGAAAATAAATCTTTTAAAATAGTATAATAATATAATCTAGTTAAATAAAATATTTTGATAAAAGAATATTATTATATTTAACTAGTTATATACTTAAATAAAAATATTTTTATTATCTCTTATAATTAATAAAAAAAAATTCAAATAAAAAATTAATACTTTAATACTTGAATTATATAAAAGAGTTTTTATATTATATAATTTTAATTAAGATAAGTACTTTTAATATAGAGAATAAGATAATTAATTAATAATTATTTTTATATTACTTAATTTTAATATTAAATTAAAATATTTAATCAAATATATTATTAATAAATTAAAATAAAAGAAATATATATATAAAAATAATTATTTAAGTAATAAAAAAGATAATTCTATTTTTATATATTATTAAATAAATATTAAAAAAAATGATATATAAAGATAAAAAAATTAAGTTTTTATATATTATTAGATAGATATAAGTAAAACTAATATGATATATTAAAAAAATGATATGTAAAAATTTTTTAAAAAAAAGTGATATATAAAAATTTTAAAAAATAATATATAAAAATTATCAAAAATATAATAAAGTTTAATAATACATAAAAATAAGAAAAAATTTTACTTTTACATATTATTAAATAAATTTTAAAAAAGTAATATACAAAATAATATTAATATAATAATAAAAATTATATTTTTATATATTATTAAATAGATATCAAAAAAGTGATATATAAAAATTAATAAAAAATAATATATAAAGATAAGTAAAAAGTAATATGTAAAAGAATATATAAAAATATAATCTGATTTTTTTAATATCTTATACTATTTTTACTAATATAAAGTAATAATATCTAAAGATATTAACTATATAAAAAAGATTTTTAAAATTAAAAAATATAGTAAACTTTTAATAATATATAATATTATAAAGAAAAAGATAAGAAAAAATTATACTTTTATATATTATTAAGTAGAAATAGTAATTCAATACTATATATCTCATTCTCAGATAATATAATAAATAATAATTTGATATTATATATTTTATTCTTCAGTAATATTTAAATATATTATATAAAGATTATAAATATTATTTTGATATTACATATTTTAAATCTAATTCTTATAGAAAAATTAATTAAAAAGCTAAAATATTATATATCAGATTTAGATATAGCTCTCATAATAAATTTATAAATAATAATATATAGCTAAATATATTATTAGATATATTTTTTATTTATATATCATAAAATATATATTAATACTTTTATCATATCAGTAATTACTTGAATAACTTGAGATTTATAGTCATAATATATAATAGTTCATAATCTGATATTCTACTTGAGTTATAGATTATGAATTATACAAATTTCATATATTAATCTAATAATATAATCAATCTTAATTGTTAATATATTAATTATATATTTTAATAATAAATTATGTCATTAACATCAATCCTGATATACAAGAGTTATTTATAATTAGTAAACTATGAACTCATTAGTGTCATAAAAATTATTTCAGTCATATGACAGTTCATAATATATGAATACTAGTAATAAACTATGACAGTGTCATAAAATCATTTCAGTCATATGATGATTCATAATCTAAGTTAAGTTGGTTCATATGAACCGACTGCTTTCTTCTCTCTTTATATAAAATATAATCAGATTTTGATCAGCTATATATATATAATATCATAAATAAGTGCATGAAGAGATTCTTGATTAAGATTTTATCATTTTGTTATTAGACATGAAATTGGTAACTAAATATATTTGATATCTATTTCACTTATTGATATTTTTGTTTCAAAAATCAACAATAAATTGTCCATTTTTGTAAAAGTGCCACAGATAGATTATTATTCGAATTTAAAGATTATGATTTTCTTTTTGATTTTTATGACGTGTTGCGAAATAATAGTTTAATGTTCCCATTTAATTTCATTATCATAACGAAAATCTTCAGAAAGTTCTTGTGCACGACTATATGATAATAAATAGCAATAATTTCTGTGCATAAAATGAAATAGTTCAACAATCTATAAAACGATTTTTTTTAGTTACATATTCCTTTTTATTCATTTTATTCCATTTTCTATATCTGAATTTTTTCCGGGTCCCTACAAATCCGGCGCAAGAAAATTAAGAGAAAAATGCAAAAAACACCTTGGAGCACTATTAAAAATAATACGGTGAAACAATTTTACATATAATCTCTTTCCCAGTTATGAAAATCACTTTTAATAGTTGTCGGCTTACATATGATTTGCGCATTCTTATTGGTTGATTATCATGTGATTAGGAACCGAGCGCAGAATTACGCCCTGGCTGGTAGTAGTCGCACGATAACAAATTATGTACCAATCAAACCAATCAAATTAAAATGAGAAAAAAAACAATAGAAATAACGAAAATGAAAGTGGCCATTATCTAAAAGGCTATTTATTAGAAAAGTAAAAAAGCCTGTTGGTCAGTTTGTCAAAAAAGGAAATTTAATGTATTGATTGAATGTTATAGTAATAATTATAAAATGATCAATAATTTTTATGCACGTGTCTGTGTGTCATTGTTTTTATTTTTGTTAGAATCAAAATCGTTATAGTATCAGGTATCAATAGGTGGTGGAATGATGGATGGCATTCATAAAATTTATAATTTAAGCGTGTGTGTGTGTGCCTGTTTGACCTTTCCATGTTAGATAGGTTTTATCGAAAAGTATAATATTGATAATATTAGAAAAATGAAAATTTTCAGGAAACGTTTGGTGTCAAAGATAATCATGATATCAGCACTACCCATATTACCCGTTGAATCAATCCTAGAGATATTCAAGTACATTCCAACGCGGAATCTATGTCGACTCATGGTTTTGTCACGTACATTTAATATCGAAATAAAGAAAATGATGGTGGAAAGATTCAACGAAACTTTTTGGAATAAACATAGACGATTATTGGTACATATTGCTAATCTCATTAAATACTGCCGTAACATTATTCAAAACTCATTGATTTATATTTTCCCTTCTTTTTAGGTATTTATGACAACCTACTTATCATTAGATCCTTTTCTCCCACCACTTCACAATACTCACAATGGATACGATCTTACTTTCGACAAATTAGACAAAGACCTAGTGGCTACATTCGTTGTTGACCTGTCACAACCAGATGGTACTATTGGCCCTAATCACACAAAATTATGGGGTCTGCGATTGCGCTCTAATGATATAATACGTGATCCTTTAAATAAACCGATATCCTATCCAAAATTGGACTTGGATTTGCCTTCCGAACCGAAAGAAGCCAGGGTTTATATATTTGATAGTGACACTGATCGAGATCATCCTTTTATTAGGTGAATGTCATATATAAATTGTAGTGTTTTGAATTAATTGAATTTTTAAAGCTGATAATTTATTCTTAAAAGTGCGTTTTATGTCACGAAAGGGTGTCTTCGAGCATCTAATAACAATATGGGCTGTATTAAAAAGACTCTCACCACCAGCAGTGATAATAATAATAATACAAACAACTCAACTATCAACACGAAAAATAAGTTATTTAACACGGAAAATGCGGAAGGTTGGTGGAAACACGACCTGATAAGTCGAAGACATAAAAATTTTCCCGCATGTGCACACTTTATCGGCAAAAATGAGTCTAACAATGATGATGTGATTGAGATGCTGCATGAAGTTCGTATTAGCGCGCCGATGCTATTGACCGCTGCAGAGGAAAAACGAAAAGATAAAGGTGATGGAGGGGTAGAATTTTTGGTGGTGGAGGGTGGACAGTCTAGTCTTACACGAAGTTGTATTATATTATGAACACTACGGATTTTTCCAGTGTAATTTTCATTATTTTATTTTGTTTCGAATATGGTTTGGTGTATTATATATGTTGGACAATGAATCAGAATTTACGTATTTCTCGTCCCACTTTATGATCTTAAGCCTCAAAATATTATACATACAGATAAATTACCATTCTTTTACGTATAACCATATTACTTAATTAATACCTTAAGATTTTCCTCAAAACCTTTCTATCATATTTTATTCAAAATTTCTCCCTTGTGTTTATTTCCGCCAAAACTTATAATACAAGTCAACCTCTCTATAACGACATTTTGATAATTTTTTATTAAAAAACAAAAATTGGCCTAGAGGTTTCGTATAAATTCAATCTATAACGACATTATTAATGATTCCCTATAGTGACAACGAAATTAGAAAGGTTGACGTATAACGATGATCTATTATTGTAATTTAGAAAAGATTGGTTCTTTTTCCTACCGAAAATAAAAACTTCAAAACTTGTGTGAAAATATTGAAATTCACGTTAATATTATCTTCACGTGACACAAACTTTAACCTACACACCCCTACAGTATATTACCGGAAATTGGTCGTGCAAAGCCAATTTTATTGGCATCGTACATAATAACACAAATGTAACAATAAACAAAAAATAATCTCATTTTATAATGTGTGAAAAGAACAAACAAAGAGAGCAAATAATCGGCACTTATCTTGCTGGCATCAAAGATCTAAATCTTGTACTTAAATTCAATATTCCTCAAGTAACAGTATATGATACTATTAAATGATATAAAAAAACCAATTCCTCACATCCTGAAAAATGTTCTGGTTGGCCAAAACTCTGATCAATAATGAAAATGTATATTAAAATAAGTTGTTTTAAAAAATTGGTTTTCTCCACTTGGTAAAATTACAAATAAACTAAATAACAAACTTAACACTACTTACCATGCTAATATCATTCACAAATATATGGATGAAATAGAATTTGAAAGCTATATTCCAAGAAAAAAATCTCTTTTAATTCCAAATCAAGAACTTTGTTAATTAAATTGATGTTAGAAGAAATATGATTAAGCATAATAAAAAAATATAATCTGGTCTGACAAGTTCAAATTTATACTTTTTAAATCAAATAACCAGATAAGAATATGATAGAAATCTTATCATTAAGAATATATTAAATTTATTATTAAATTTAGTGAAGAATTAGTAATATTTCAGTTAGAATAAGATTAATTCTTTGATATCAGTAGAAGAAATTATAAATTTAGATATTTATATTAATATTCTTATTAATTATTTTGTATTCTGAATTAATTAATATTTATATACCATATTTCAATAAGATAATATATTATATTATATCTTGATATATATGACTTGATAGATATCAATATATGATATTTGATTTTTAAATTGGATTAATTAAAGTTCTGATCTTAATCTAATTAAATATCTGTAAAATATTTTGAATCATAAGATTTAAAAAAATTATTATCTATATTAAAGCAAGAATTAATTTATATATTACAAGAAAAATAGATAAGTATTAATTTGAAAACTTTATATAAGTTAATTTTAAATTTATTTAAACATACAGTGGTGACCAAAAGTAATGACTCAGAGGCTAAATTTACTAATAAAACATAGTGAAAATTGAAATTTT